TAAACCCCTGAGATCTCTCCCAAATGGTGGAGATTTTTTCTTCTCTCTCTCCCAGCTAAACGCATTTGGAACCATTTCATTTTGCTTAGATGTTCAATGGCTTGCTTCCCCCAGAATCGTTTATTATTATTTTTTTAAAAAAACATTATTTTGCAAAGTAACAATGATCGTTCTTATTAATGAAAAGGAAGCGAGGCTGACTGGTTTCGATATATTGAGCTGAGCAAACAAGGCCACCACCCAAAGCAATTTTGGGGCATTTTAAAGATCAAACGATGATCGCAAGCAACCATTGCGCACAGGCAGAGTAGATTGAGAAAGAGGAAGCCGAGAAACAAAAGCGTGCCACTGAATTATTCAGTTCCAAGAAACCTTTTCCGTCCGTCAAAAAAAAAATCAACTATGGTTCCCCGTTTTAAATTGAACCCCAAACAAGCAAGACGGGGTTTCTTTTTTTTAATTAAAAAAAATCCTTAAGAGGTATCCTAACGGCATGTTTTCCTCCACGGCAAAAGACATTTTTACCTTACCGTGCGGAAGATCAGTTATACATACGCACACCCCGGCGGGTAAATAAATACAAATGCGTATATTCTTTATTGTTTTCAATTTTTGTTGTAATTTAGAACCCCCAGGAATTCAAGTATTTTCTGACGCAGAGCATCTTGAACATACAGCAGGAAGGAATCAAAATCACAAAGATCGCCTATTATGATCCATTTTAAAGAAAAATGGAGGCTGCAAATTTACATGTATTCCTTTTGCCACAATGCCCATTTGCCACAATGCCCATTTGTTTCTCTTGTAAAGCAACCATTTGGAGTTCCATTTAATAATAAAAAAGAGCAGACAAACTGATTAGAATTTCAGGTAAGAAATATGCGGACAATCATAGATTTTGTTAGCACTACACGGAGCAGTGCACAAAAATTCCAGGAAATAGAAGCCATTTAAAAAATAAAACATGAACATGCATATATCTCTTAAGTTTTGCATTTCGTTAGAAACAATATGCATTTTCTTCCCCAAAGGAAGTGGTTTTTTTAAAAAAAAATCATTTAGTTGAGGAAAGGATACAATTGTTACATTTTTCAATCGTCAGGTATTTGCATTGCTTTTAAATATATAGATCTATATTTGCAGCAATGGTTTCGCTTATTTATATATATATTAGATCTGACCATTGTGAAGGTATACATATTAACAATAAATAATTTATCAACAAATCATGAACGTTCAAAATGCTAAATAAATTTTAGTTACTTACTGGAGGGAGGGGTGTTCCTTTGCACAGAGGGAACGCAATACAATTAAATCAGTGAGTGGGATTTTGTTGTATTCCTATTGGTATTTGCACTGTGCTGACTGTTGCACTGTAAATGCACTGGCTGCTGCTCCTTGCAGAAAGGAAAAAAGACCCTGTCGCGAGCTTCAGCTTCCCCAGCCTCGCATCTCAGTCCTACAAGCAACTCTCCCTGCATACTAATAAGCTCGTGCCACTCACTCAGGGTGAGTACGCTCACTGATTGGACGCCTTGTCCTCCACGGTAATAAGCTCGTGCCACTCTCTCTGCGTAAACAGGCTTCCCAATAGGTTGGCGTGGGGCCAGGGAACTGCCAATCAGAGAACAGCATGACTACTACTCAATCCAATGGCGCCTAATTCAAGTCCCTACAGTTGCGCAGCTCCCCTCGCGCAGCTTCCCTTTGCTTTAGCTGAATGGAAATGCGTAGCAATGCGAAGCGGGAGGGAGGAGTGGGGGAGAAAGAGAAAGAGAGAGAGAGAAAAGCTTTGCAGAATGGAGAGCTAGGGAGTCCCATCAGAAAGCTTCTTCAGCTCGTAGGCATGCACTCACGCCAATCAGCTGGGCAGCGAAGGGGATACTTTGTGGTACTCTTCTCGCTTTGATAAATTGGACGATGCAAAACTGGGGAATCAGAGCAACGTACAGATCAGGACGTCAGAGATTGCGTTGCCTGCCATCCGGCAGCTTTTAAGAGTTATTAGACAAAACGAAATACCCAGAGATTTAGAGTGATTTAGGTCCTAAGTATGCTCTTATGGTTCACTGAGTCTTCGGCGCCTGTGGATTTAAAGCCATTCGAGTAGGCGAATCACTTTGCCGCCACCTTCAATGGGCGTTTTTTGCAAGTTCAGGAAAGTCCCTTTGCTGGGTTTCTTGCTCACAAAACGCATGCAAAAAACCCTTTGTGGTTTTATCAAAACTGGAGATTTGTTTGCAATCCGGTCGCTCTTTCCTTTCCCTTTTTTGGTCTCCCACGCTTCACGTTTCCGTGAAGACTCCCTGCCCATCTCTACCCCCTCCAAGATATGCTCTCTCGCTAAATTGCCACTTTTTCTTGTAAATAGGGCACTCATACACACGTTTTCCTACCTGCACGATACCATCGCTCGTTCCCAAAGCCATTTTTTTAACGCTCGAAACCACACTGCATAAAAGCCTTCAAACGGCTTTGTGCCGGCAATTGAGAGGTTAACCGCATAGGCTTCAGTTTCTCTCCCACCCCCTTCGGTCTTTCCTTCCCCACTTCCAGGAGACGCCTTGATTGGTTGGCAGTCGCCCAGCCCGCTGTCCATCACCCAGTGTAAACAAGGCGCTGATTGGCTGCTCGCCAGTCCGCACTGGGCTGCCTGAAAAAAGCAATTACTGGCCCCGCGGTTTGCAGGGGGCCCGGGGCTGGTTTGATGAAAGGAGATAAGCTGGGGACTGTTTCCAGCGCGCGCGCACACACACACACACACCCAATGCACTCCCCCCACCCCATTCCCCGAGGCAGCGCCTACCGTCCCTTGAGCCAAAAGAAGGTCAAAGAGTGGAGAGGATCAAAAGGAGGAAAGAAAAGGGGAAACGGACTGAGTCCCTATTAGCGATTTTGAAAGTAAAGCCATTCATTCAAGGCAGGTTTGGTCACCGGAGGGATGGGGAGGGGTGCTGGGGCGGACTGATCAGCGGGGACTCCTCCCTTTACAGATTCGGGGTCTAAGGGCTCTCGACGGTGCAAGCCATGTAGGATGAGGAGCAAAGCTAGGAAATCTCTCGCTGTTTAAACGGGACAAGGAAGGGAAGGCTGCGAGAGAATGCATGCTCGGGAAGCCGCGAGCCGACCAAGCCGACTTGGATAGAAGACGCTACGGAAAAGTCGATTTCATCGGCTCCGCTGCTGCATTTATAGCCTCGGTCCAGAGCTTCCCAAATTCCAGACAGGAGGAGCAAACTGGATCCATCTTGAGCGTGCAAAACTCTACGCCTCCGGGAGAACGAACGTTCCGCTTTGGCACAGGCGGAATCTATAGCGAAGCTAACCGGGAGAAATGTCAGTTCCAGGGATCGAACGAGGTTGAAGGACGTATACGTGTGTGTGTGTGCGCGCACGCGATGCCATGGCAGCGGCTGGGAGGCTCAGAATCCTCTCCAGCCCCCCCCCCCCCTTTACTCGTGATTACGATTATTTTAAAAAAAATTAAAAGGAGCCTAATTGATTTAAAAATGCAGAATAAATCAAAATAACCCGTAAGAGATATTAGATTACAATGGAGCTATTCATTAACCAGAGCGGCGAATTAAATTAAAAAGCGAGTGAGTGTGTGTGTACGTGCTTATGTGTATGCTTCAGTTAAAGGAGAGAGGTTGCATTTCCCATCATGATGATGATGATGATGGGGTTTGCTGAAACCAGGCACCCCTTGATTATCCAGAAGAGGAGGGGAATTATCCCAATATTCCAACCCACTTAAGTGCTGATGTACCCAGTTTGGATCAGCACCTTCTAATGGTGGTGAGAGTTTATTTATTAACATTGTTGCTGTTCTTTACATCACATTATTAATGGATCAATTATTATAAGTAACTTAGATACATACAAGCATCTACAGTTTGCAGTCTGGTGCCCAAAACAGAACCGGGTTCGAACAAGATGAAACCCCAAACATGCTAGGCCCGTTACTTTCCAGATATTTTAGAAACAAAATTTACATGGGACACCCTCTGAGTCACATAAGGCTTTCTGTTAATACCGTAAATGTATGTTAAAAAAAAAAGTACACACAAATTTTAAAATTTTAAAAACAGGCAGGAGAATATATAATTCTGAAAGGAGCCCCATTTATGGACAGAGAGAAGGAGGTAGTGGTTCATGGAAAGGAGAGTTGGGGCTCTTGAATTGATCTCAGAAAAAGTGAGAGCCGAAGAGGGAAAAACTGAAAGCAAAGGCACTTTTCAACTCATCCTTTCTGCCAGCAACACAAGGCCCTATCAGAAAACCTACAGGTTCAAAGCAGAAATTTGAAAGAGAAAGAGGCCATTCTGCAGGCAAAAATTAAACAGGGGAAGGGAAAAAACCCTACATTCGCAGCAGCAAATCTGACACATTTATGCATACGTACACACACAGACAACGACAAAGCTGTGTGTGTGTGTGTGTGTGTACGTGTGGTGGCCTCCTAAAGTCTTCAACCCACCGACGATCTTGCTGTTTATCTAGGCCCTCAGCCAGAACATTGGCTGGTAGGCGTGGGAAGGGGTCAGAAGGGATTCAGTTGGATCTGTCTGCAAGGCAGAATGGGCCTTACAAAACAACAACAAAAAAGCTGCAATGCCTGGATTACCTCCCCACATTGGAACAGGATCTGAAAAACTGCGAAGCAACTTTTGATTCATGCAGATTCTTCTGGGGGATAGGAGCAGTGGCGAGACAGAACTTGTCTACCTAGATTATCTTGGGTCCCTATTTTCTGAAATGACAAACCCAGAGGAAGAATAGGGACTGGGGGTTTCCATCTGGTCGTGCTGCCTTAATTTTCCTTTAATATATGCCCTGTGCTTCCATCTCTAGATTGTCTTTCTGCTCCTCCTTTTATTCTCACTCGCAGAGAGAAAACAGAGAGAAAATTTTCTCGCTCAGTTGGACAATAGCTTCCTAGTCAACCCAGTCTCTTGCCCTGACCTCGCTTCCATTTCCCTGGACAGAGAGCCTTTCAGTGTCCTCGTGTTGGTCCCAGGACAGGCGCAGGATCTGTCTAAGGCAGAGTGGGCCTTGGTACAAGAAATCCTTGCTGGTTTCCAGGGTTTGGAGTCTTAAAGACTTAAGGAAGACTTACAATTCCATGTCTTTTCCATGCAAAAGAGGAAATGCCACCTCAGGGTACTCTGTCTTTTGCGATAGAAGAAATTGAGCTCTGTTCAAACATTACAGACACAAATTGTAACATGTGAACAAGAATCACCCACTTGATCCTAAATATATTTGCCCGGAGTAAGTAAGGCTGGCTACTTTGTCTTGAATTTCTTTATATTTATTTAATAGGGATTATTAAATTATTTATTTATAATCTTGGAAAGCAGTGCAACAGCAGGATCCTCATCCTATTTACAGAGAAATAAATGCCAACTGGCCTGGAATCCCTTCCCAGTTTAGCAAAACTGTAGTGCCAATGTCACTTCAGAGGAAGTCACTTGTTTTAGTAGGTTTAGGATCAGTTTGAAGTCAAAATTAAGTCTAAAGTGCATTGAAACCTACGTAAGTTTTCCCCAGGCTTTGCTGGTTTGTGAGAGTGACAATCTCCCCACGATGGGAAGAGAGCAAATCCTGTTGCTTTCAGTGGGTTTTCTCCATATAGGAAGGCTGTAGGATCAAATACTGTTCAGGCAGACTTCTACAAAAGCCAATCCTTTAACTTTGAAAAGAATAGATTTCTGGGCCTGGTGCACAGAACTGTTCCTCTTGGTAAATTTTTGGCAGGAACACTGATCCAGGAGAGGACTTCCTCCACTGTTTAAGGTATGTGTTTATTATCATTTTGTTTGTTTGTTTGTTTGTTTGTTACAAAGTGCATGGGGAAACAGATGAAAGTTGAGGTGCAGGATGAAACAGTAGTTCCAGATTCATTTTGTTGTGAATTGAAGCCAGGAAAGAAGCTGTTTAGGGGTGTTTGTTCTTTCAGGTGATGTTTGGTTGTGAATGCACCAAGTCTCTGCAAAAGCAGCAGTTGCCCTGCAGTGGCGAATGGATGGAAGGGTAATTAATGCAAAGTGACTGATTGCTCTTGAAGAAGGCCAGTCCAGCAAAGGGGATTGTCCCTGGTCACCAAAGCGTCTCGTGATTGACAGTCTCTTTTCCATCTCTCAGCCTAGGGCAAAGTACCCCAGTGCTGCATATTATCACCGGTTTAAGCCCAGAACAGCAAAATCTCAGATTGTTTGAAAGCTTGCTTTTATTTTGATTTTAAGATGACTATATTCAGTCTAATTATTATTGGACTGGGGAATTAAGTATTATTTTGTTTGAAAATTAAAAACAAATGCCAAGTCCCAAATTAAGAAATAGGGGTAGGGGAGAGAAAAAGAGAGAAACAAAGCATAGGCAAGTAAGGTGGACCTTGGGGCAGATGAATGCAGTTGAAGAGAAAGGAAATGGGGAAATTGGCCTTGGTTGGTTTAATATAGAAATAAATTAGCTTCTCACACCTCTCATTTTTTTGTTACCCCTTTTAAAATTTGGATT